TTAGTCCTTACTACGTCCCTACTACGTCAAAACAGCTGAAGGGTTTTTTAAGGGGGAGAAATCATCGAATGACTTCTGGAGTGAGATCAGGCGGGAGGGAGTGTCAGACTCTTACTGAAACAGAGGTTATGGTCCTTCTAGACCATAACCTCTGCATAGAGTAGCCTTTGTGTTCTTCTGAACACAGGCTACTCTTTATCGCCAAGGAACACGTCTGAAGCCTTTGACAGAATCTCTCATTAAACTTGTGATTTTAAGCCAGGTATAATTATGGCAACTAATATTGTGTTGTGCACCTCTGCCTACCCTTACTTGGAGTACCAAGTAAGGGTAGGCAGAGGCAGTTTACTGACTGTGTTATGTATTGATGTATTAAACACACACTCCTATAACTTACGAAAATCGAATCCAGTTCGTACTCTACGTGATTCGAAAATCACAAAAATTAAAAAAGCAACGGGACCTTTCCAACTTATTTATATTCTAGGTGTAACTTCTAGAATATTCCAATATAACCCAGCTAGGGAATATAATCAAATTCAATAACTTAGGATTCAAAGTTTGACAGTCAAGTTCATGACCCTTGAGCCAATGGGAATTTCATTTCAATAAGCCTAATTTAATATTCGAAAATGTACCTTGCGATATAATAGAAATACGGTTCTATTTATAACTAAGCGTCTCCTCCGCCGGGATTGTAATCAAAGAATATTATAGGCAGGTTATTAAAATATAATATCCAGTATAAGGTGACCTCTTATTTTTAGGACAGTCTATTAAATTAAAGGTCATGTTGGTGTGGGCGTATCTGCTAATCAATTTCAGGATGATGTTATATTTTTAGACACAGACTCATTTTGAGAGCAACGTCTAGGCTTTTTTCATAACTAGCAAGCTTTCATATAAAATGCCTATTATTATTTAATATATAAAGAGATGAGATAGTCATGATAAGAGCTGACTAGGAGACTAAATACCTACTATACAAAGGTAGAATTCTGGTAAACATGTACCATTGAAACTACGATCTTCAACCCACTGACAGCATATACTAATCAGATTGACAATAGATTAAAGAAGGACCAAATTAAAAGTACCCATAACCGACGAGCATGCATGAAAAGACAGTCAGTCTTGATGACTGTTGATGAAGCGAAAGAGGTATGTAAGACTTGTAGTTCAATTGGTGTTCCATGGTCTCTGCCTACCCCCATGGGAGAAAGGCGTGAGGTATGTCTTCAATCCACCTCCTAATTGTGTAAATTCTAGCAAACCCTTTATACGTACAGACATCCTAAATATAGCGTGGGAGAGGGATAATTGTGGGAGAGCCATTCTTCGGCCCGAATAGGCCGGCTCGACCGGAGTGATACCACGGCCTCACAAAAAACCGACGTGAAACAACGCTTGCGTTGTGTTTCGTCATGTGACTGAGGTTACTGGCGGCCCAATTACCCTCAGCCCTCCTCCTCCCCCCTCCATCATCCCCAAATCGTTTTGGGAACTAAGAATTTGAGGATAACGAGGAGAATTGAGAAAGGTAACGCACTTGTAACGCCTCTGGTGTTTCAGATATCCATGGGCGGCGCTTGTTGCTTACCATCAGGTGATCCGTCTGCTCGTTTACCGGCTTATCCCATAAAAAAGACCAGCAGTTAATTATGAGATGCTCTTAATAATTAGCTATTAAATTCGTAAATTTACAATATCTTTTCCCTTACTATAAGATACTAAGTAATTAACCACATAAATACCTAAAGTGGCTAGCCGTAATAACATTAAACTACACCCCACCTGGGGTTGGGGGGTTAAGTTCAAAAGGGTGCAATTCCCACCCCTCCCATTTCCTTTTAAAACTTTGAATTAAACGTTCAATTTACCGGTTAACGGTTAAAAACTTAAAGCTTTTCCTTCAGAATATAACAGGTGGAGTTTTGTTTGAATGTCAAGTTATTTTTCTTGAACTCGGAGAGATTTTGATTTGATTTAGTAAAGGAATTTAATATAGTAGAAAATGAATAGACATTTTCTTAGTATATTTATGTGGGTGAACCGTTATTCCTACGTTATTCAGTACGTTTTACTATAGTTATTATAAAAAAAATAAGTTTAATTAACATCGTTATTAAAATTATAGTGTATATATATAGTACAGTACACTGCTATCTTTTTTTATTTTTTTTAAGCGTTGCCCCACATTAGGATTTTGTCCTGTGTCGTAGGTGCGTTTACAAACATACAAATTCATATACCCAATGACACTCAGACCCGAAGAAACAATTTGTGGACCACACAAAGTGTTGTTCATAAAACAATTCTAACCTTAATAAATATCTATAGTATCAACATTGTACATACCACAAAATGACAGAACCCACAATTTGGCGACGATACTCACATAAAATTACATACAGTAACATAGTTGATACTTCATGGCTATACCACGCTGGTACCCTTGAGCCCGCGCCATGTTGCATTGTAGAATAAATCAAACCTTGAATGTTGAATTGAAAAACATGATTCAAATAAAGTAATTGGAAGAAGAAACAAGAAGGGCAACTGCCTAGCAAAAGGCCTTGGCCTTGGGTTCGATATTATTATTACAGACGAAGTAGGCTTTTTTTTCTCAGTAGTAGCACGGAGTCTGGAATTGTGTCCGGTATATGGCAATAAGCTCACACCCTATTACATGGGACTCATAACATAAATAGTGGAAAGTGGGTGTTACATTGTACAGTGGTATTAAGTGTCGTAATGCGCACCTCTGCCTACTCCTTCCGGATAAAAAGGCGTGATGTTATGTTATGTTCTAAAATTTCAAACTGATACGATCATCAAAGCCGACAAGAGACAAGTATATCAACTCGTTTGTAAATAAAAATCCCGGCAACGGGGTTGTAAGTCCCTCTGATTTTGCGGGTATATATCGGCGTGATCACTTACCATCAGCTGATCAGATTACACCCAATCTCATGAGAACTTCTAGTCAAGTCTCTTTCGCTTTTGCTATATTTCGTTTATTAGTTTAGCCCCTAAATGCGTGATTGACTTTTATGGCAAAACTTTTATGTTAAGTGTGGGAGAGCCATGCTTCGGCACGAATAAGCCGGCTAAACCGGAGTGATACCACGGTCTCACAGAAAACTGACGTGAAGCAACGCTTGCGTTGTGTTTCGTCGTGTGAGTGAGATTACCGGAGGCTCAATTTCCCTCCCCTTCCCCAATCTCCCCAATCCCTGAATCCCCAACGATTCTCAAACTCCTAATCCCCAAAAAGCCGGTAACGCACTTGTAACGCCTTTGGTGTTCCAGGTGTCCATGGGCGACGCCGATTTCTTACCATCAGGTGATCCGTATGGTCGGTTACAGGATTATTCCAAAAAAAAAATTGTGTCTTCGAATTCATAACACATATCTACAACCACAAGCATTGCAGGGTTGAAACAATTGCAGTCTCATGTCAGCGACCTACACCTTGAATTATAAACTTATAGACTCGTCGGTGAATTTAAAAATGATTTATTGCATGCTCACTTAGCACTTTATAACTTAACGTGACGTAACTTTATACTATTTCTATTCTGAAGGGGTAGGTAGAGTTGTACATATGTATGTATGTAGGTAACTTATACATTTATATATATATGTGTAGTTATACTTAGGTAGTGATCTGAAAGTAATAAAGATTAAGAATATATTTGTATTGAAAAATATTTTCATTAGTTAAATAGTCACAGGTTAACATTGCATACAAATATTTTTTTGCTGTCTCCAAACGTATATAGAGTAGTTTTACTTTATTTTATTTTGAAACAGCACTTTAAGTTTTCAATTACTATAAATACAACATATCTTCTCTATCCCTATCATTTTCTTACTTTCAATGTTTGTGTTCATATTGTTGATATGCAATGGTCGCAAGTGCGACTGTCGGGCAAGGGGTCTCGGGTTCGATTGCCGGGACGGGCTAAGAATTATTGGGTTTTTAAAAAAAAATCTCAGTTGTAGCACGGAGTCTGGAATTGTGCCCGGTATATGGCAATAGGTTCACCCCTTATTACATAGGACTCATAACATAAAAAGTGGGTGTTACATTGTACAGTGGCATAATGTGCACCTCTGTCTACCCCTGCGGGGATAAAAGGCGTGACGTTATGTTATGTTATGTTATGCATTATTTATAATACTATAAAATAAAACAACCTAAACAAACAATCATTTAAAAACCACAACCAACACTAAAATGCCTTGAAACCACTTGCAAAAATAATTCAATTTTAACAACCCATCGAACTTAAATACAAGAAAAATGTTCGAAACGAACAAACATAAAAAGGCAGAGCAGACACATCGATAAACCAAAGTCGTAAAAGAAAATTGTACATAACACAGTCGGTCAGACAAAAGTACCGAAAGCACTAAAAGTACCGTAAAAAGCACTAAAAAGTGCCGGGGATCGTAACGAGACCTTTAACTGAAGTTAAACCATGGTACCAAGGTGAAACTTGACGTGAGGCTCCCTCGTAAAGTTATGGAGACGGTGCGAGGTATAGACTTACTGCGGAATGGAAATAGAACTAGCAGACACGCGTGTAAATTAATAATAATTCATTATTTAGTGAAATATATATATAGTACAGGATATGAATGGGACCGTCGGTAGAGGGTGCCCTTGACAGACCAGGGTGCTTATCTTGAAATCAATCTGAATGTCAATACAATTTGAATCCAATAAAATCTCAATAATTATTCAATGTCAAAACTATACAACCCCTATCGTAGCTGTTAAAATAGCATTCAGGGTACGGAATATAAAACCAAACTCAATACCATTTAGTTCAATCAATATCCACGCAATACGGATGCAATAGGCGTTAGTGTTACAGCTCAAGAGTACAAAATTTCACAATACCTATGTCGATCGATCGGAATTGGATTCAAGAGTAAGCCTCCAGATTGGCGATATATTAAAGAAGGGCCAAATTAAAAGTACTCTTAACCGACGAGCATGCATGAAAAGATTGATGACTGTTGATGAAGCGAAAGAGGTATGTAGGAATCGTAACAATTGGCGTTCAATAGTATCTGCCTGCCCCCATGGGAGACAGGCGTGAAATTATGTATGTATGTATGTATGTATTTACAAATTACTCTCTTTGATTCTTACTTAGTTAATTCGCGTGTAAAAATTAACTTTATTCTTCTACGGAGTTTAGAACTAAAGTCTAGTAATAACTGCAGATATGCTTCGAGTATTACTTATATTCCTCCTGATTATCTGCAATCCTCACTTCATTCCGTTAACATTTTCCCCAATCCGCTTCATCCCCTAACTCTTACCATCCACAGAAGGGTGTCACCCTATCTTCCTGCCCTTGATGTAATACAGCGATAAATCAAGCGAGACTAACTGATGGCCTGGTTTTCTGCTTACCCGCTTTGCTTAGTGACTTAATTGAGTCATTAGGTTTAATATTACCGTGGAATATGTGTTTGTCTATATAGCGTCTATATGTGTTAAGTTTCCATTTTGTTTTTTCAGACTACGTTGTCGTATGTGTGTGAAAAAAAGTGGGTGTTACATTGTACAGTGGCATTAAGTGACGTAATGTGCACCTTTGCCTACCCCTTCAGGGATAAAAGGCGTGAAGTTATGTTATGTTGTCGTTTGTTTGGTCCTTTGGTACATGACAATTCGTGAAAAGAGACTACAATCTATATAAACAATAAATGTTGTTTAACTAACATTAAAATATTTACATCCATTTAAACTGTCAAACACCAAGCGGTCACCGGTGACCGCGACCTATTGTTCTTTAATTGTGTCTATAAAACCGGTACTCGACGAGTTAATAGTAAACTTACTTAGTTAAATCTAAGTTAAGCTTCTTTGAAGAAAGACAAATCAAGATTCAATGGTTTCTTTACTATCATTCTCAAGAAGGCCTTTAAACTGTCAAACACCGCGCGGTCACCGGTGACCGCAACCTATTGTTCTTTAATTGTGTCTATAAATACGGTACTCGACGAGTTAACCTCTTTCTTTTTGGAACGTTACGCGAAACATAATCTGTTTTCTATTGTGCCTCATTATCGACTGACAAGAGGTTAAGGTGGTTAAACTAGACATCATTAAAGACGTACTCTATGTTTCCTAACAATGGTTAAAAAAAACATTTTTTTTAAAAGTACTTTTCATAATCAAATAACTTGTCCACAATGTCCTCTCTTTCTTAATAGTTGGCCATGTTTTAATTATTTTCTGTTTTGTTTGTCAAAGATGTTCGAGTGTTGATGTCTGACTGAGCGACTGGACTGGAAAGTAGCGAGTTCGAATCCTTGCAACTGACTTCACACGAAGAGTCTGACCGACCAAGTTCAGAAACTAAACTTTTGGAGACATCGCTAAACTAAGGTTAGAATGCAAATATTCAATTTACATATTTTAGTTATAGATTTTTATTGAAAGTACGGAAGGTTGGATGTGGAATTTGAAAATGCTAGATGAAATATGGTAGTATACTTTGGTAGTAGTAGTTGAAATCAAGTTACAACTTGAGTTTGTTGAAGAATAACGTAATCTACTTTAAAAAAGTCAACCTGACATGGACTAAATGAACTTGTCGATAAAATAAAATTTAAGTTGATTCATTGCCGGCACTGGTCGGTTACCATCAGGCAATCAGGTGTAGGTAAACCAACACCGTATTTAATTTGTAAACAATCAAAGTGATATTGCTGTGATTTTAATATTAGATATCATTCTTAGGATTATAAGTTTCATTTATTGTATTTTTATGAAGTCTCTGATTTCATGTACTTAATATATTTTGATGCGCAGGCGCGGAGATGTCGCGTTGGCGCGGCTTCGATGGCGCGGGGTGAACGCGCGTCGCGGCTAGGCGCCGATGCGCGCCTGGCTCGTCGTGTGTGCGGCGCTCGCGCTGGCGCCCTGCCGAGCGACCGCTGCGCACTCCCACCAGGACCCTGCCAGGCTAGAGCGCATCAAGTCACAAATATTAGCCAAGGTAATATCACACTTCCTAATAGGCAACAGAAGAAATGTGTGTTGAAGAAGAGAAAGAACTGATTCTCCTAAACTTGGAAGAAATATGGACTCTTTCCATTTGGTTTTCTAGAAACAAGAAAGTCTCACATCATCTCTAATATCTCTATAGACTTTTATAGTCTTGTCAATACTACGTACTCTGCAAACTGCAATTAGGTACTTAAGGAATGTTATAAAACTTATTTATAAAATTATTATTATGGGAAACAAGAAACATTCAAATTTGAATATGAATGTAGCTTATCATTTATTTCATATAAAGTATCCAAGATAAATCGTACAAAATTTCTCACAATAACCCTCTCTCACCAGCTGGGGCTCTCATCGCGTCCCACGCCACTAGGGGCACCGCCTCGCGACGTGGTGCGACAGATTCTGGCACGAGCTGCCGACCCTCGGCCTCCGCCACGACATCACGACCCAGACACCGAACACGCCATGAGGGAAATCATCGCGATAGCACATAGAGGTATTTATATAGTGACAGACTGAACAAAAAGACTAAAAAAGACAAAAACAGACACTGATTCATCACGCAGACTAAAAGACTAAGTTATGGATGGAAATCCAGTTACTGAATGCACCATGAGATAAATCCTCATGATGGTATTCATGGACAGACATGACAAGAGGACGAATAAACGGATGATGAGAACCAAACGTAAAAAGATAAAGTTATATTCCTTGTTACTGACCAAGACCAAGCTGACATACTGACAATAGACCATGACTATGAAGTATTTTGGGGTACCCAAAACGTAATAGCTTCCAAAATTTCAGTGTGGCGAAGCGTTACACAACTAAAGAAAAATTGCCATGTCGTGATTTTTGGCATGAGCGTTTGAGTTGAATTCTTGAGTTGGACATAAAACATAATATGTTATTCTCTTTAACCCAATCCATAATTTTACAAACTTTGCTAACCAGTAGGTTATAGAAATATTAAAAAAAGACATAAAATATACAAAAAAGAAATAAAAAGACTATACCAAATATTGTACCAAAAACAATTTATGACTCTAATTGAAAATAAAACAAACGTAAAAACACTCATTCCATTGCGTATTCCGTACGGAAGGATCATGTTACTGCTAGTACATTGAAGCACTTGTACGCGTAACTATTTTATAGTACCGCAGAAATAGGTCGCAAACATCATTGGCTATAACGTAACGTCTAGACTGGACCATTCGACAGCCAATTATGTACTTTAACATAAATGTCGTTAAGTCCATCTTTGTATGGATTTTTTATACTAAATTATCCTGGTGGATATTTTAGTTTTTATTAAAGTGTAGATAATAATTGTGCTATCGGGTTTATTAGTGATTTGACAGAAAATCTTGTACGATCTTAAAAATCATAACCACATTATAAAGAGATACCACAATTTCCAATTCGAAAGCTTATAGAAAAAGTAAAATCTTTTAGAAAATTAAAATAACAAGAATTATTACAGCGTGTTCTCAATGTGTGTAAACCACTACCCAATTTAGTATAAATGTTTTCTCAATTTTTCATTCAAATTTCATTTCTGTCCAGCTCAAGAATTAAACTCCGAACCTTTTTGTCTACAAATCACACCTGATTTAATTGAACAGTGCTAACTTTAATCCTAAGTCGCACTACTACCGCCTAACATACAATTGTATCTTTTTATCCACGTTTGGCCCACTGTGCGGTATTTACATATTCGATTTGTGATTCTGTAGTTATCTGGCCATTGTCTGGGTCGTCAACTTGAGCACTGGGCTTGGCAATCGTTGTATATCATAAATAATCATCGACTATGATAGATACTACAAGACTACAACAGGACATTTATATTTTCTTTTGTATATTTATTATTTAGTCCTTTTTTTGGTCCTTCGGTACAAATCATTTTTTCATACATTTTTTTCGATTTTATGTTTGTTATGTTCCGACAATGCCCTTTAAATTATTGGCTGATAATTTTTTGGGTATTGCTTTCTGTAGTATTATTTTTAACGACTTTTATAGAAGACGGACTTTATGACATTTTAAGTATTGTACCTACTAACTTAGAATTTGGAGAATACATAGTTCGGTGGCTAGCAGGTCGACCTATCCAGGTTGTTGTATCCTGTTACATCTTTACCTTTATTGTATTGGTAAAAAGTCGAACAGTTAATGAATAAATTTGGATTTAATTGATCTGGTGGCCATTGTCCCTTTTTTAATTTAAGTTTCAAACACAGGATATAATATTATTTTATATGTATTTCGAAATGGTCCATCACATTTTTTCAAATATACTGTTTTTATGTAAAACTAATATTTTCTAGAAATAACATAATCACTAAATGTTTTGTGCGAGTATGTTTTCAGATGACCTGAATTTTACATTATGAGGTACAACTTTGATAAAGTGAGTATCTTTTCAGGAATACAGTACTGAAATTTGAGTAGTATTGTAATGAATCCGTTTAATTTCAGGCTTGGAAAAAAGACATGACAAATGGTCCTTTGGAGCATGAAACCAGATGAGACTGGTGAGTAAGAATTTAGTTAAGTACCTACTTTATTTTATTTCCCTCGAGTATTAAAAAATATTCAAATAAATTATAGAAAATGTCGATAATTTACTAATGTCAGCTAAACAAATATAACCAAACTAGCTTCTGCGAGTAGCTTTATTCGGGGATAAAAATGGTCCAGTTATTTTAGACCATAATCTACCCCAGTTTCCAATTTCATCTCGATCCCTTCAGCCGTTTTGACGTGAAAGAGTATCAAATAAACAAACAAAATTTTGTATTTATAATATTAGTAGGATAGACAAAGATAAAACTAAGTAGAAATTGAGTATCAGTCTTTAGTTAGATCTGCATAGAAAGAGACACGTTAAGACTCGAAAATATTCCACAGCACAAACGAACAACATTCCACTACAAACTCACAGTAACTTGCTTACCTATATTTTGTGAGCAAACACTTAAAATGTTAGTTTACCTAACCATTAGATAAGTGCCGTACATTTTATCAATATACCCTTCAAAGTTCTTCTAGAAACTTCGATAGCTATCACTTTGTTCACGTAACGTATTCTGTTCTATGGGGTTATGCAACCGAACCATTTGGGCGGTCGCCAGAGAGCCGCGGCGATTTACAAGCTAGAACCACATAACGATTTATGTCATACTTTTTAACCGTTTCCAAAATGCAAAACCTTTTGAAATGGAAAATGGGAAATGTCCTGGAATGGATTGGGATATGAGATTTGTAAATGGTCGTTCGGATTCGTAAGTGGAAATTGGAGACAAATAACGTTGATTGAATTTACTGTGTAATGTGGGATTTGGGAATTTTGTGTCCTTTATTTCGTTTTCGTTGGGTATACATAGTTTCGAATCTAGTATATCTAAAAGCTTAAGGTACTTTTCTAAGTTTAGAGGAGAGAAAATCATCCAATGACTTTTCCCGCCTTGGGTGAGACTAGGGAATGTCAGAGTGTACTGGCTAAACACTGCTTCATTTCTACTCCTGCTTTAAACCGGAGTCCAAAGCCTCAAGAGTACTCTTTAAAGCAATTTTAATACCGCGGTTTTTCCAACACATAAATAAGACATTAAAAAGAAACAAATTAACAATACCAATAAACCATTACTCACTACGCTAATAGAGTACGAAATATACAGCCGAGTGCATTACTACACAAATATAGCCAACTTTAAAATCTCCAAACTATTATGTCTTCCTTAAATCGGCTATTGCTCACACAAACGCATCAAGCCAATTTAATGGCAACTTCTAAAACAGTCATAAGAGAACAACAAGAAAAAATACTTGGACACAAAGTGCTTGGAAAAGGCCAAGTGCCTACATTTGAGCTAATAAATATAAACAGGATCACTAGTTGACGCCATTCTTATAAATTTTTGGTAAGGTCACTATAAGAGCGGAGAGCGATAAACATAGGCAGAGCGATTCCGTCCCCTCTCTTAGTGTAAAAATCACCGAATTCCGAAAGCAAAACATGGTCCTTTGAGCAGAAATCCCGCGTTGCATTTATTTCTCAGTGCATTGTCACAGTACTCGCTTACAAAGAGACAGTAGCTTTATAATTATGCGACGCATTCTTTACATCGTCGGCAATATATCAAAAATTATGCCTTTTGTGAGGCTATAAAATTTTAAAGTTAAATTTTCTGCGCTCTGCGATCCTTCTGCGATTTTAGTGCTGTAAAGCCTTGGTGCATACTTTGGCGCACGCTGTTGACTTTATTTGGAACACTTGTGTTATAATTTACTTATTTTTATTTGATAATGCTCTTGTACAAGAATATTTGGCTTTTCTGTATTATCTACAGTTTAAGATAATAAAAGCCAGAGGCTTTAAACACTAATAGTAGGAAAACATATCTTAAGATTCTCATAAAATCAGGTCATACATCCACAGTATTAGATTCTTTTAGCTATAATTTAAAAAATATTTACGTCATTTTGTTTCTTCCAGAATGAAAACGGCGCTGCAACATTTTAGCTGAGACCAGAGAACTAAATTCGACGTAGTTCATGACCGACACACGAGATGGCACGACTAGTATCTTCTCCAAAGAGGTAAGTGTAGTAAATAAGAACTCTTTACAACATGTGATGATATTTGTTTTTAGATACAAGTTAATAAAGTAATAAACAAACTACAGATGAAACTCGATAAGTTCAAAAAATAGGTAGTCTGTAAGCATGAGTTTTGAAATAACAAATGATGTGATCGGGGTTCGCAATCACAACGTCCATTCCAAGTTTAATTCAGTTCAATTCAATTCATTTATTTCATATTACATAGATCCATTTTTTGTTAGTAGACACAATATTTAAATGGGGTTGGTAACACAAAACGAAAAAAATAGGTAAAGAATATATTATGCATACCGATATACCTACATACAATACATATAGCGAACATATTATAATATTACTATTTCTAAAGCAACTTTTGATTACCAAAACAATGCTTTTAAATTGGTTTAAGTTTCAAATCTCGTTCAAGTCTCATCGTTCAATTTTTTTAAAACAATGCACATGTTTTTTTTAACGGGGATGATCATCGAATTACCGCTCGCTGGGTGAGGCGGGAGGGAGTGTCAGACTCTTACTGACTAAAAAACACCCCGTTCCTTCTCCTGCACTTCGAGCCAGAGCCCCGGTAACCCGTTCATGTTTTAGAACACAAATTGGTCTTTTGCTCCGCGTCTAAATAAGAGTTGATTGTCTTGAAATAATATCAATGACGGAAACAATAATTGTTCGTGTCAAACAAACATACATTGTATGTTTACTGAGTGATGAGTGCAAATCACTTTCTTATCGTTATCAATTAATTGATTGGACTTTTGAACTTTCCGTCCTTTGTTTTGTAAGGGCCTCCAATCGGACAATTTCTGATGGTTTTAAACTTTTTAAGGTTCTTAACCCCATTAATTGTCACCACTCCTTTTCTTCTGTGTGCCGTAACTACGGGCCTAGTT